AGCTGGTACAGATGTCATCGGCTCGCGACAGCTGCACTCTGGAAAGCGCTGGAAAAAGCGCCATCTCTTCCGCTTGCTGAGCCGGTCTCGGGCGCTGGGCATACCCTTTCACAAGCTCACGAATGCTAGGCTGCTAGGCCACGCTCTCCCTCCAGGGATGGAAGACGAACAACAACAATCACCAGACTGAAAGGGAAAGAGACGATGGCCCAGCTACATGAAGTGGGATCTCGCCAAGGTCCGTCGTTGAAGTGACCGCCCCGTTGATCGTTGACGTCTGTATAGACTTGACCGGTCCACGGCAGACGGGCAGACGGAGGCGAAAGACCCAGGACGGACGTCCGCCTTGGAGCACGATTCACCCGAAACCAGGATCCGTGCAGCACAAGGATCTTGTGACCCAAAGGCTCATTGTATCCGAACCTATGCAGGGCTCCGACCCGAATCCGAACTGGGTCAGGGGGACCCCTGACTGGGTCCCCAATCATGTATGGTTTCGAGGGCCCAGTCGGGCGTCGTTCAGCGTCGCGTCGCGTCTGGGGAGGTGAAGATTCCTTTCTTTGCCACGGCGGGGCTGTTTGAAGCGACGCATGACGCATGAGGAAGTCGAAAAGATGAGGAAGACCACAAAAATGCAACAGATGCTTTGAGTGAGTGGGCGTTGAGCGTAATGCGAGGGGCAAAGCCGGCATGTGATTTGGGGTCCATGTTGGGTCTGTTTTCTTTTTAGCCGGCAACTCGCAAGTTTTAAACACATTCTGGGAGGATATTGCCGGTGGCAAGAAACTTTCCTTTGAGTAGGACGGGAGTCATATGGTATGGGATTGACTCCCAGACAATTGACTGTCAGATGGTATTCTGGGACTCATGCCTTGCTTGGTAGGTCAGATGGTGTTCTTTTCATAGGCCTTTCTTCACCACACCCTGACTCCACTCTGCACCGTGGGCGGCCCTTTTGCCACCGCAGCCCCCCGGCCGCAGGCGCCAGCCGCGCGTCCCTCTTCGACGACGCGCCGCGCGCGGCGCCGTCGAAGCCTCGCGCCGAAGCGGTGCGGCCCGACGCACTCCGCGAGGACCGACGCCGAAGAGGGAGAGAGAACGCGGGAGGGAGCCACCACTGACTCCCGGCAGTGTAGGGGGAAGTGGAGTGTTCATGTCCATGTTTTCAAACCTTCAAACGTTGAAGAGTCTGACCAGACCTTAGGGGCGAGAACGTCCACATGTTAGTGAGTCGCAGTGTAGGTGACCAACTGCACCTACCTGGGTCAAACTGACCAAGCCACGGTCAAGGATGCGATGACTGTCCTTGGTGACTTGAAAACCATAAGGTCCTTCAAAACACGGAGAGGGAGCATTCCTACAGCACGAAGAATGGCACGCACAGATCGCTTAACAATACATGGGCTTGGGGTGCAATTTCGATGCTTTGACCAACAGCAGCATCATCACTTTCTCCCACAGATCTGCTGATTTGCTTGTGACTTGACGGTGATTTGACGATGCAGTCTTGTGCCGGAGCAGGGGAATGTTCTATATTTTGTTGACCAGCACACGACCAAAGGGTTTTTGTAATTCTTTTCATCTGCTTCCCTCGACTACTGAGGACTGGCTTTCATCTATATACTTCCACCCAACTACCTGTTCTCAGATCAACTGGTTTTCATCTTTAATGAATCCACCCAACTCTCACTACCTGGATTCTCAGCTTGTCTTATCTATTTTCAGCGGACTGGCAGGGCCTTGGGAGCTTCTTCGCTGCTGCATATAGTTCAAAGATGTTCAACGCATGCCACAGAACAAAGACTAAAGGGACCAACCATTGCCAACCGAGTTGACAGCATTTTTGTGCCTTTTCACCTGAAGCCACAAAGCATGGTGCTTCTTTCTTGCTGATGAGATACTGAAGAAATACGTCTTTGGAGTTTCTGCTCGGCAAGAAGGGCCCGGACACTTGAGATCACAATCGACGTGCATCAACACGGGAGACCCATTGGTGACCCGGGGCATGCTTCTGCGCTTGACCCTGAGGGATTCCGAGCACGAACCCGACCAAGCAAGGCCTAGAAACTTACTTATACCAGCAGCCCGCAAACCCACGAAACATGCAGGTTTTCACATACAACAACCGTTTTTTGGCTAGGGAACACCATGTTTTTGATGGTTGTGAGGTCCCTGGTACTTCTACCAAGAAATCTCGTGACACTGGCCCCCAAACCCATCTTTCCAGACGCCGCCTTCCACACATGGCCCGCACATGGCCTCCCCACGTGGTCATGTGGCCCGATGCTCTTGCGCGCGCCGGTGCGCCGCGCCCCCAACGCGTCGCCGCCCTCGATCGGCGATGCCCGTCGCTGATGGACGGCGGCCGATGCTGCTGGTAGGGATGACCTCGTTGCCCTCCAGGCGAAGATGGAGACGGCATGGGGTGGAAGCAGGGCCGGCAAGGGATCTGAGGTGACCAGAGGATGTTTTGGACATTTCCTGGTGTCCAGGATACAACGGAAGGGTTGACTGGGTTGGTGGTTTCGAATAGATTCGATCGATCTTGGATTCCTGGCTTAAACCACTCACCACCTTTGATGGCCTAAACTGATTTCCCGTCCACCGCCACAGGCTTCGAGGAGCCTGTGCCGCGTTGAAGTCCATCGCAGCACAGACCAAGACACCGATCTGCAGTGGGGGGTCTGTGTGGGGCCTGTGTGCCATGAAATCGCAGGGGGCGGGGCGTATGTGGGTGAATTTTGGCCGGGGGCACAATTGAGTTATAGGGTAATCGAACCCTTCAATTATATTGGGGGATGCATTGATGAGCGGGATCCGGAGAAACCCTGGGATGAACATGTCCGTCATCTACAGCGGCCCACCTGATCCTTTTGTTTTCGCGTGGCGGTTTGGCTGATCAGAGTGATCCACAGCGGCATTGGAGCTGATCTCCGCCCGGTCGGATCGCAGTCTCTTCCCTCAGTCCAAGCAGATTTCCTGGCATTTGCACTGGCCAACTAGTGTTGGAGCTTTCCAGGGCCCTCAAGGGCAGGGAGCCTTGATGGGGGAAGAAGGCCACTTCGCTTCAGGCGTAACAGATGGTTGGCCAGTTCGAAACACGCTTGAAGCGAAGTGGCCTTCTTCCCCCAGCAAGGCTCGCTGCCCTCGAGGGCGGAAAGCTCCAACACCTGGCGAGCCGAGCACCCTTGCGGAGCAACCAGTTTCGGGCCAAAACATCCGCCAGATCATGCAAGCAAGACATGGTGCAACACTTGCCAAGCAGTTTGGGGCTCAACGCAACTTGCAGACGTTGAGGTTCAAGCTTCTTGGCATCCACATGGTAACCGAGATTCTCAGCAGGTGAAGGGGGAGAGGCAGATGACCAGATGACGAGAGCTGAAGTGACAGATCAAGGAGGGCACTTTCTTTTGGACGAAGGAAAACGAAGGAAAAGGACGGCCCTGGGGTCCCCTGGGGTCTGGGGAGAAGAGCGTTGTTGGAGACAGGTTGTTCGATCCTTCACAGGACTTTTGTTCGATCCTTCGCTTTCAATTGTGAGATGCAACACGACCAGCGACCAGCGATCTGGGACGATCCATCTACACGACCAGCTGGCGAGTGACTGCTAGAGTGACCTGCTGGTGTCTCTGGTGTTCACGGTGGTTCTCTTTTTTGTCAGGTTTTACTGGGCGACGATGGAGTCGTGGAGTCCGTTTGGAGAGTTGGAGACCAGTTGCTGGGGCTATCATGAAGAAGCAGATGGGCAATCAGCGCTGCGACGGCGACCGCGGTGAGCGACCAGCTCGTGTTGTTGGCACTCCGATCGACCGATGCCGAGGGGTGCCTCGGGATTGCAGCTCGAAGTCACAAAGCTGGACCATCCCGAACTCGGTGACCCACATGGGGATCGTATTTTCCTCGGTGAATTCTGAAAGGCTTCAGAACTGCTCGTTGGCGAGCTTGAACTCACCCACATTGGGGATGCGGCCGAAATCGGGATTGCAGCTCTTTGGTGAGCTTGTCCATCCCTGTACATCCGTGGCCCAGATTGGGGAGTATGCCATGCCTATCCAGGGTCGCTCTTCGCCCCCTGGATGTGGGACTCAGCCGTGGTTTTCGGGGCCGCGGCTTTCATGTGTCCCGTGGTGAACCCGCATGAATCGAAATCTGAAAACCCGAAAAGGGGTGCACTTTGGCAGGTCTCAAGTGTATGCCCAGTATACCTGGATCTTCCAAGTATGCAACATGTCTGCCTTGCGGCTGATCTTTGTGGATGAAGAGGCAGACATTTGCGTAGAAGATCCAGATATACCAGCACCCTCCAACAGGTCTCCTCTTGTGACTTTTGCAGACTTCAAAGTCGCGGGTGGTGACCTGTTGGAGGGTCCTGGTTATGATATATATATATATATTATTGGAGGCAGCTTGAAACACACCACCGGGCAGACATGAAACATCATGAAACGAACCCTCAAGCCTCAAGCCTTGAGCCCATGTGGATTGGTATAGCAGCTGGCATTCCCATGGAGGTTCTAGATTCTAGGTCGTTCAAAACCCATTCTTCTAGGCCCTCAAGGTTTGAGGAGTGGGCTCATCTGCCAGTTGCAGCTACTCCAGGATGGTTGTAACAATAGACCAGTTGCCAATGGTGCACCCATGTCTTTCTCGCATCAACAGTGGGTTTCTCCAAATTGTTTTGGTTACTCTAAGCAAATCTGAGTTCTAGATTGGGGATTTGAATCATGTTTCATCTCTTCCACAGCCGGGGTACCTAGCCCTGTCTGCGATGCGTTCCCCCAAAACGAAGCAGCTCTTGGTGACACAGGGGCCCTCACCCCACCTCCACCGGCGCTTCACCGCGGACCGCGCCTGATCGCGAGGATTCCGGATCGCTTGATCCTGTCGTTGCCACGTTGCTCGATCCGCGAGGGCCGAGCCTACGAGATTCCCCGAGAGCTCCAGGAGTTGACGTCAGAACACCCATGGATGCAGGTGCGCCAAGGGTACGGTATAAGCGCTAGGTGGCTCTGGCCACGGTCTCCGGTGGACACTCCGGGGGGTGTCCGGTGTGGGGAACAACGGAGCGTCCGGCCAAAAGGGCGGTTTTCACGGTATTTGCTTTGGCGGGAAATAGCACCGGAGCTGAAGAATGTGTGAAGGATTTGGTAGTTCTTAAAGAGTTCAACACTGTGGTTTTAACAATGCCTGCACCACAAACTTTCCCTTGGGGGACTTCAGAAGCCTTTTGGTCCTCAAAGCAAGAAAAAGCAAACGAGTCTCAGTTCCAGCAGTGCACTCACCATTTTAGATGCCACTCGTGCCGTTAACCCACACGCGATCTACCTTTTTCACACTGCACACGATCAGGGCGATGTCACACGTTTTGTTTTTTCCTTCCCAGGTGCCCGCCATGTTTCAACAGGAAAGAACCTTGTTACATTCGTAAAAACACAAACACACAACAAACACAGTTTAAATGTTCTTAACAGACACATGCACGCACACTTAAGATGAGTGCTCCGTGGACCTAAGCTTCAGTGTTGCGCGGTGAGCACTAACACTTTAAGCTTAGTTACTGCAACACCAGACTAGAGCGCTCAGACCTCTACCTGTGAAATGGCCCTGTGAGGAACGGTAAGGCGAGAAAGTCCGAGAACAGTATACACACACACAGCATGTGTTTTTATCAAACAAGAAAAGCCGCCGGCATGCATTTAGTTGTTTATTAACGCAGGGCACTCAGCTGCCGAACTCGATCTTTCTCATGCGAAGGTTCTACCAAGCTTGAACTCAGGGGACTGGCATATTGACCTACACTGCGGTAATGTAGACTGATGACTAATAACCCCAGCCAATTGAATTGAACATCCTCTTCATATGGGGGGTATATTAATCAAGAGTCTACAGGGTCGACCTTTATCTTCCAGCGTTTGGGTATGGCCGTGGCTGAAAACTAGGGCGCCACCCAAAATCTCACCAAGAGCTGCAGTTTATTTGTGGAGTCTCACTGTCTTGAGCCAGGCCCATAAAGAACACGAAAGTATAGCCACTGGTAGCCACTGGCCCTAAAAAACAAGGTCAAAGGCGCAAATCTTTCATTTTCAAACCCGTGCGTTTGCTTACAATTGTCAGCCCCATGTGTAACACGCAGACTCACTTGTGTACATAGCCTGAGAATTCCAGACTCGGATCCGAACGGCGCCCGAGGCTCCGGTCGTCTCGCGCCATTCGGCGGGGTCCCGACGCACGCGGAAACGGCGACAACGGCCAGGTGCACTGGTTGGAGGAAGATTTTGGTCCAGGGACCAAACTCTTGGGAGTGATTGATTGGTTTCAGAGACCTGGATGAACGATGAAGACTTGGATGAACGATGTTTTTCAGGCGGTTCTGCTTGAGATGTGTCCATCTCCGAAGGAAGAGGTTCGTTCCAGACCTATTGGGTTTCATTCCAGACCTATAGGTCCCTTGCTGTCAAATCCAAGGAAGTATTTGGGGGACCCAGTGAATGGCGACATGCTGATGCTGCTGGATGACGACCATGCTTATTTGCCTCATGCCATCGACGATCTCTGGCACAAGCAGAGCTCTTTGGGCACTGAATACGTGAGTGCCTCGGTCCACCGAAGAGTCAGTGATCTTTGGAAGATGTGGGAAGACTTTTTGTACTATTTTGTTATTTTGATGTCAACCCCTTTTGCAGAGTTTTTCATTAACACAAATTGCTAGTTAGTATGCTTGTAGTTTCTGTTCACACAAAATATGTATGTTTTAGATTTCAACATGCTTTTGCCTTGGTTGTTTTTGCTTTGGCTTCTTGCACTTTGGCCGTGGCTTTCACCGGAACCGGTTTTGGGGCCGTGGCAAAAAAGGCATTCATTCGCCCAAAAAAGACTCACTGAAGCAAGGTGGAGCCACCGGGAAAGACATGATGCATATATTGATTCACATTCGACTTACCCACCTTTTACCAAAGAAGATCTCCGACACCTCACCCACAACACCCTAGAACATCTCAGAATTGCAGAACATCCCAAGTACTGGTATCATACAAGAAAGGCATCCCACAGCCCACAACCTCCCAAAAGCACATGGCGCATGTATCACATCCGGTCCCTAGTCAATACCCATCATGAAACACCAAAGAGATCGCCGCGTCCGGCATCTACGAATCCTCGGCTGAGAGCTTTCTCCCCTCTTTGTCCTCCAGAATGGGCGGCCACAGCTCTCCAGTCAGGCTCCACCTTTTTTCAGGCTCCTATTTCGCGTACTTCTTCCGTGGAGTCATGGTGCCCCAGGGCGCGGACATCGTGGCGGTGCAGCCGAAGGATCGTCTCTGGATGGCGCAGCTGCAAAGCTTCCATCGTCACTTCGTGGCGGAGCATCCAGCGGCCTTTTTGGTGGATGACCTGTGGGCGGCCATCTTCTATTTTGCCACGGGGATGCCTGGCCAAGCTGGAGTGGCTGGAGTGGCAGAGGTGGTAAGTTAGAGGGACTCAGAAAGGGTGGTAAGTCAGGAGTAACCCAAACAGAAACATGGGATGCCGAGGGGGCGAAGAGCCGAAACAGTGTTTCATTTGGTGGGTTTTCTGCTGGACCATGGGTTGGTGGTCCAGGAAAGAAGACTTATCAGAGGTGATTCGCTGGCTTCAAGGGTACTGGGGCCCTGGGGCTGAAGGATCTGAGGGTTTCTGGTGCCTTGGCAGGCTAAACTGATGTGATTGGATGCTGGGAGTCCGGGTCACTGTGATGAAACATGACAATAGCCCTCCAAGTCGCAGTCTAACCCAGTCCTGAAAACCTCGTTTTCGTCGTGTTCTTGCAAGGCCAACTCCAGTAACATGAGGTTAAAGTGACTGGCCGGTAGGCGACTGAGATCGAATATGGGACTTCTTCCATTCCGCTTGGCCCAAAACGGATGGGTGGCCCTGGCCAAGCCCCTGTTTTGATCGGTCATGTTGGGTTTCTTGATCCGGCGCTTTGCGGCGGTCTGACCCACTGGCAGAGACTTGTTTCATTGCCACTTGAGATCACCTCAATGGCAGAGACTTGTGGGATTAATCATGGCTCCAATATCAAATATATCATTGACATCCAGTAGAAAGCATGTTCTTGCAGTGTGAGGCGGATGGAGATGGGTTTGAGCTACTGGAGATCCACAAGAGGTGCTGCCAAACCGTTGCAGCTTGTACCACCAGACTAAATCATTAGTGGACCAAGAACACTCTTACTCATCAAATCCCATCCAAGCAAATCCTGAAATTTTCGAGTCTCGCCTGAAGTTTCTCTCCCAGTTTCTCCCAGTCCTCCGCTTTTCCTCCCCCTTCTGCTCTCACCCTGCTCTCGCCCCCTGTCGCGCCCGACCCGAGGAAGGAGGTGCGCTCCTTCCGCGACTCGGTGCTCCGCCGTGGCGTGGAGACCATCTACACCAAGACCTCCAACGCCTCGGTGGAGGCCCTCATGGACTTGGAGGCGTGGAATAGAAGGGTCCGGCGTTCCCCACGGCGTTCGAAGTGGTGGGGTCCGGTGCGACACAAATGGGGGGACTTGGCTTTCGGGAGAAAAAAGAGAGCCGGAGGGATGTCCGAACTGGGAAGTGAAGGCACTGGTTGGTGGTGAGTGTGACTTCTGGTGACGTGGAGATGTTCTGGTGAAAGCCTTCCAGCCGTTCAGAGGCCACCTTTTGCACCCTCGTGGATCGTGAGTGAACACTGGTTTCCAGACATCAAAATGCATCCGTGAAAGACACCCTGTTGCAGGTTTCCGTGTTTTCCGGTTCCCAGGAAACCTGCAACAGTCGGTATATATATATATATAGTATATATGATATATGATGATATATCCACTATTTTAGTGAAAGGGCCTTGACCAACCATCCATCATCCCCTGTTGGGACTGGGATATCTCTTCCAACAGATCGACACAAATCACCGGTGGGCGTGGCGTGTGGCCGTTCGACCGGCCGGATGGAGACATCGGACGGAAAGCAGCCGCCGTCAACAAGGCGGAACAGTCATGGCAAACAAGGCTCATGCAAATGGCAAGGATACTTCCTGGAAGGTCAAGCTATCATGGTGGACCCGGGCAGGTTTTGACAGGTTTTGACCCAACCCCAAAGATGCAGCATGTTGGAACACTTGGAACCGATTGAATGGGATGGAAGTAAGGGGACCAGAACTGTCCGACATGTATGGGAACAGTTCGCAGAAGCAATCGTCTTTGCCGCACAAAAAACCATGCACTGAACTGCCAACCGAGCCCGACTGGCAACCGCCTGACTGGGCCCAACTAAAGTATGGCCTTTCGGTGAATTTCGGGTTCGACCCTACGACACAGGGTCGACCCACAGTTGGTGGAACTGGTCCCAAGACTGCTTCAACCAAGACCTTGGTTGAACGCACCCGTGTTCTGGACCATCGAATGGTCGAATGGATGTTTGGTATGTTTCATGATGCTCGGCTTGAAGGTGTCTGAGTGTTGATTTGTTCAGTTGGAATTGGTGGTGCAGTCCGCCCTGTCCTCCAGATTCCTCCCGTCTCGATGCACCCAGTCCGTCCTGGAAAACAGACCGCCCACCGACCTCCGTGCAGGGCGCCGCCCGGCGCGATCGAGCCATGTTGGCCTGCTTCGACCATCTACTTCAAAGGCTCCTGGCAGTGCCACCTGGGAGCCCGAGCCTCGAGTGCATCGGTGCGGTGGTGAAAGATGGCACAAAAGAATCGGCCCAAAAGACCAGACCAAAGCTTCGTTGTGTTTTACAAAGGCCAGGACCTAACGGTTAGACCTCCTCCCTTTTAGTAGGCCACCCTACTCCATGTTCTACTCTTCCCCAAACCACTGTCAGCCACCTTCATGCCATCGACGCCCTGCCAGGTGGCGCCCCTTCAGCGCTCCGCCTGCGGCGCCTCGCCGCTGAGGTGGCGCTGGCCGAGCGGCGCATGGCCGAGCTCCACGCGGAGAGCGCGAGTGCGGAGCGGGCGCCGCGTGCCGCGGCGGAGCTGGCGAAGTTGAGGCATCTCTACCTGATGCAGGGCGAAGTTGGCCAACAAAAAGATGGGAACCAGTGGGGTGGAGGTTGGGCGAGCGTGGTAAAATATGGTACATGGATCTTGACATCATGATCATCATGGAAGTGCCCAAAGCTGCAGATGGTCCATGTCCATGAATTTCCATGAAGTCCTTTGCAACAGGGGGGGGCATGGATCCTGTTTTCCATGACTTTGGGAGAGAAGGTAGGTATGATTGGATCATTTCTCGTTTGTTGGGTGAGAGTGTTTCACCCATGTTTGACCTTTGCGTGGGACGGGCCACCATGGGCCATCCAGATGCAGGACCAGCGCGACCGCTTCCGACCTCCGATGGCTCGGCAGGTGAGGAGAGGGAGGCCAAATGGCCAAGGCCAAATGGCCTGGGCTTGGGCCAAGTTCCCCGAGATCCGAAAGATGGCCATGACTTGCCATGTTTTAGACCACTGTATCACATGATCATAACCATAACCACACTCTACCATACGTTACCTCAGTCTTTTGTCACTTTGCCACCTAAGCACTTGAGTCTGTGATGAGTCACCCTCCAAATTGGCCTGTTGCAGTAACACCAGTTGGAACATTCTTGACACAGCGGACCATCTTAATGTATACTTGATTCATAAAGACCCCCATTTGGATTGAACAACTTGATATGGGGCCTCTTTTTGAATTGAGAGTCTGCAAAAAACATGGTTATGTGATGTGATACTGTTGATCTTCCCTGGATTATATAAAGTCATCCTCCAAGAATCTCTCTTGGTTCCTGCTGGACCTCCCCCTCCCACCACCAGCTCTCGCTTGGTTATCCGCAGATGGACCTGCAGGTCTCGGAGCCGCGGCACAGCCTTCAGATGGAACGCGAGGCGAACAAACGGAGAGACCCAGACAGGGGAGACCTTTCCAAGAATTCCGGGAAGAAGGACAGTGGACCAAAGGTGCATTTGGTTGGGGATCTGTTAAACCACACAGATGTATGGCGGCACCCGGTGGCGACTGCCGAATGGCATTTGGTACTGTGAATCCATCTTTGGGGCGTACTAGCATGTGCTAGCCGCACTGTTTTTAGAGTTCGAGGAAGATCTGAGGGTGTGTAGCTACCCTAGCTGCCCTAGCAGGACCTCCAGCCAGTTCGAGTTCCCTCCGGGTCCAGCTTAGGGTTCGGAACACCGAACCGCACCCGGGCGCTGTTCTTTCGAAGCTCCTGATAGAAAGAGAAGGAGTGGGTGATGAAGAGGAAGAACCCCTGTTTGAGCCCCAAGGGTTTTCAGTCTTTGGGTTTTCATGATCGGGGAGGAGCGGAGCAAGGTGGCTGGAGCGAATCGATGCGGATCTATGGTGATCCAAAGAGTTCACATCCTGGACCTTCATGTCTGTGAAACAATGGAGATCCACAGGTAGGGCGACTTGGTCAGTCCATGGCAGACTTCGAACCCGGGGGAACCCGGGAACCCGGGTGTTTTTTTTTCAGGTTGAATGGACCCCTGGGAGTCGACTCGTCGACCATGTATCAAATTGGGTTTCGACCTGGTGTTGTAGTGTCAAATCCTTAGGAAAGCGGCTCGCTGTAGTTCGGTCGTTCGCCATTTAGACGTTTGGTGGTGGGAATCCCAGCGGAATGGACATGAACAGATTTGAAGATTCATTCTGGGGATGCTTGACTTTCCGAAGCTGCAGAAAGGAGTGAAGCTGCAGAATGCTGCAAGTATTTTTTCCCTGCGACAAAGGGTGGAGTGAAACTCTGTTTTCCAGGTAGGTGGAGGGGATTATAGAGAATCCAACAAGGATACTCTCAGACTCTCTGCGTTCAGTACACTTCGATTGTTTTTCTTTTTCTTCAATTTGATGTGAGAACAAGCAAGGAGAACATCGTAGCACTCAGCGCACTTTCTTTTTAGGCATGCCACTGATTTAAGGAGCTAAGAAGAACTCCCGCCACTGATACACCGTTTCGACGGTGATTTCGAAGGTGATTTCCTCGGTGAACCTTTATGGCCCCCCAGATTACAGGATGTGGTGCAACAGGCATGCCTGTGCCTCCGATCGACGGTGTGAGGATGATTTGAACTCCATCAACGAGTCTAAGTCATGCTAAGTCAACGAGTTCCCCAAGAGGCAAATGCTAAGGGCGTCCAAGTCTAAGACAGACAAATATAAGGAATAGTCAGCTCAAATCCAAATCCATCAAGATCTTGAAGCCATGGCGAAGAGAATTTCAGCACTGCAGCCGAGTGGTGAAGTCATGGTTCTTGAAGTCACGCCAGAGATGACAGGCCTGGCGCTTAAGCAGCAGATCAAGGAGGGACAGCCTTGGGACGAGCTCACTCGCAGCACTACAGGCGTGGAGATCATTGCGGGAGACAACCACCTGCTGGACAACTATGCAAAGGTCTTGGATGCAGGAATTTCTCAAGATACTGTTGTGAGTGTTGTCTTCAAACCAAATGTCGTGACATGCTCTGACAAAGATTCCATCGCCAGTTTGGGCGGCATCATTGACTCCGAGCTGTTGCTTGTGGTCGAAATTCCAAATGATGAAACACAAATCCATGAAAACGCTTTTGAAGATTGCCACACATTGGCCAAAGTGACCATCCCAGACTCTGTGACCCACATTGGGACTGGTGCCTTTGCAAATTGCAAGGCTTTGGCAAACTTGACCATCCCAGACTCGGTGACCCACATTGGAAACGATGCCTTTCAAGGATGCCTCTCGTTGGCGAGCTTGACCATCCCGGACTCAGTGACCCACATTGGGGAACGCGCCTTTGACAAATGCACCTCTTTGTCAGACCTGACCATTCCAAGCTCAGTGAAGCACATTGGGGGTGGTGCGTTTGCGGATTGCAGCTCCTTGGCACACTTCACCATCCCGGACTCCATGACCTACATCCAGGAATTTGCCTTTGCTGGTTGCAGCTCTTTAGTGAACATGACCATCCCGGACTGCGTGACCCACATCGGAGCTTGTGCCTTTGAAGATTGCACTTCTTTGAAGAACTTGACCATCCCGGACTCCGTGACCCACATTGGAGATCTTGCCTTTGACGAGTGCGGCTCCTTGACCAGCTTGACCATCCCGAACTCGGTGACACACATCGGATATGGCGCCTTTGATAATTGCACAGCTTTGGTGTTGAGAGTTTCTGCTGTCTCTGGGACCAGGTTCGAGATTGACGAACTACGGGGGTGCAAAAGAATCATAGCCAAAGAGTGTTACTGTCACGAATGTGAATACAGCTGGTTTCTGAAAGGCTGGCTTTGTCCCCGACGACCGTGAGCGCCAAGCCGCTCCAGGAAGACCTGCGAAGACGAGGATGGCGACCTTTCGGGAAGTCGGCGAAGAAAAAGCGACATCGCATCGCATCGCAGTGCCAGGAGTCACAAAGGGGTGCCCAGAACATCCACTCACTGAAGGGGGGGGCTCAACACCTTCCATTTGCGACTCTTGGTGCTTGACCTTTCTATCCATTTCTGGGGGTCAGCTTGGGTCAGGCGTGCTCAGTCGGTCCACCCCTGTCAGGTGCCACGGGAGCTGCCCTCAGAAGTGTCGGGCCCCTCCTACCAGGAGTTGCTGGCAGAGAACAGGCACAATGGGTGACGTGAATCTGGCGATGGGTCCAGTGCTGGTCCACTTGCAAGAGAGGTTTTTCACAGCTTGAAAACGCCCATCCCTGGTCTGTACCACCTATCCCAGGGTCCGAAGCGGTCTCGCGGTCTCAAAAACCTCTCTTGGTTTTGCTTTACTCTTGTGACTCTTGTGGGATCGGATGACGTGACGTCCCAATCTCCTCGTCTTTCCAGATGTCCAAGCCATGACAAGCCCTTTCGTCAGTCCAGATCCTGCCAAGCTGGGGACCGTTTTCCTCCGGCCTCTCTTCCGGTCCGGTCCGGTCGAGGTTTCGGTGGCGAACGGGGGGCATTTTCACCGGGCAGACCGCCGCCCCGTCGCCAGCGAACTGCGACGGTGAAACGCTGGAGGCATTTGAGCCCTTCAAATGGTGGTGACCCTGCAACCCAGGCCCAGCATTTTGGCTTTGTGGTGGCATGTGGCCATCACGGACGTTGGATTCAATTCCAAGGGCCACTGCTCGAAGTGGTCGCCTTGGATTCCTGGGCCACTGCTCCTCCAACAGCTCCAATTCACCGGTCCCGACCGCGACCGCGACGGGAGGCGCTTGCGGGACGAGATGTCGGAGCTACGATTGGAGCTGGAGAAGTGCGGGAGCGACCGTCGTTGGGAGACTGGGAGCTGGAGTGTGCGACAGGTGGGAGACGGCCCAGACAAGTGGCAAAAGGAACATGTGTATGGAACCACCCAGACTGGACTGGACTGGCTGGCTAGGAGGTCCCAGTTACACATTTATCCCTTTCTTGTGGCACTGAACTTTGATTGCAGGTTTGGTTCCTTTTACCACGGGTACGGGTACGCATCAAGGGCAGCATCGCTACTTGGAGAAGGTCATTTGTCCAAGAGGCTATTGAGGCAACCCATGGCAACCCTGAAACAAATACAACGTGAATAATTGCATTTACCATTACCATTCATGAATCAACGCTGGACACTATATATCTTGGAGTTCTGGGAGAACTGGGGGCAGATGAAGAACAAGACCGTAAAGCCCAGCCTCGTCAATACATCATGCTGGATGCACTAGATCGACCCGAATCGATGGTTTCTCTTCAATCCAGTGGTCTTCCAGTCTTTCATCCTGCGTCCCTTTTCAAGGAATTCTCTGTGCTCTGCTGGTGAGCTCGCGCCGGTTTTCTGCAGTTTCTCAGACATCAGCGCCGACCAGCATGTGGCACATAGACCGACCAGCATGTGGTTGTGACGAACCAACCCGAGCGGAACCACCATTTTTCAGGTACGACATCACATGGGATGCTTGAGAACAATCACACATATACCGTATCGCAGCTCAGTTGGCAACTGTCCTAGCCGCTGAACAGCACTTTCCTTCTTGCGGCATCTTTTTTCCAACTTTGCAGCCAGGGGCTTGCCTGAGTGTGTTTGGTCAAAAAAGACGCACCACCCAGAGCGCGACTGTGTGACTGTTTCTCTCCCGCAAAAGATAAGCAACACGCTATATGGACCATATGTTTTATTCCAGAAATGTCGACGGCTGGTTTCTTTTTGGTCCGAGAACGAAAAAGACATGGCAAAGCACAGACCTGCATTCTGACCGGAACTCCACGATTCCTTCGCCCATGCCTTCGCGTGTGCGCACCCACGCGCGCTTGTGCACTGATGACGCCTGAGACGGAGGGGGACAGCTCGCCCAGCAAGAGACGCGTCAAGCGAGAGACACGCGTCAAGAGAGCCTTGGACGCTGCGAGACAGGTGTTGGCGATCGGGTGCGCGGTCGAGGTGAAGATCCGTCACCATCCATGAAGTCACTTCACGACGTGTAAATACATGGCATGTAAACCTGACACTGGATGGCATAGGGGTGGTTTCAGTGGTCAATGCAGTTACCCCTTCAGAGCGGAATCCAACCAGGGCACAGTCGCGGTCATCGGAACCCGCTGCACGAATCCCCACGACCAACTTCGGTTCGGCCGTCACAACAACGGCTGGACCGAGCCAGGATCCTAGCAAACTGCTGTTCAGCCCAGCGTCAAGGATCCTAGCTCAGCTTGGAAGATCTTGGCATGTAGTCTAGAAGAATTCACATTCCACCCCTCCAAGCATCTCCAGGCAAACAATTGAAGGAAGTGTGAGCAGAGACAGCTCCACCCAAACTAATGCAGTTGTTCTCGTCGCAGTACTTCTTTCAGGAGTTTGATCCCTGCCAAGGTCTCGGCCACACTGCGACGAACCGGAGCCGTGAACAGTTCCATCCCACCAGTTGCAGACCCAACAGACCGTCGAGCTGGCACAGGGGCCTCCTTGTAACTCTTCAGGGCTTTGCAGCCGCAAATGCTGCGGTGTTTCATATATGTATACCACGTGTTCAATCACATGCCTAGGCATCGCATGTTAACCTAGGCAAGTGCAAACTGGACCTGAAACAAGTTTCCTAAGTTCTTAAAAGCAACAGATCCCCGCTGCTGGGACTTGGTGAGACTTGACGTTCGCGACCAAACCCCAACCAAAACGGACCGGGACTGCTGGTCTCTGCCGGGCCGAGCGGCCTTTCTTTTCGCCTCAGGATGGATTCCCCTTCTCTTGATTGCCGTCTCCGCCTTGGGCTTTTCGATCCAGGTGCACGGACGGGTCCGATCCGAACATCGCCAGCGTCACCGATGGGGATTGGAGGGAAGGGAAGGGACAGTGCACCGATGAGGGCTGGAACCCATGACGAGGGGAGGAAATCACAACTGCCACTACTGGGTGCCTGGTGTTGTTTGACTGACACCCTACACGAGATGCCCTGCTTTTCCCGCGCACTGCAAGTAAAAATTGACTTGGAATCTGAACATGGGGTCTTTTTGGGCGCAGTTTGACTGTTTCACGTCGGTTTTGGAGGGTGAACGCTCCCAAAAACACCATCCCGGATCATGCCCTTCTGGATTTGTGACTTGTATATACTTGTATATGTCTCAAGCTGAGGGTCCAACCAGTAACAGTAGTGTTTGGTCAAGTTTCTCTTTGGTCTAGCTCCAGTCTTGAGAGATGCATTCTTTTGCAGCACAAAATGGCACACACACAAACCTCAAAGGACGATGGTCCATGGACTTCCGCCCCGTGACTTCTGCCGCACCGTTCACGCTTTTGGGAGCACCGGGGCCACCGCGCCCCGACCGCACCGGGCCATCCGCACTGCTCCGCAGCGGAGAAACGGCGCGGAGCGGAGGCGTTGATGGTGCAATATCTCACGAAGCAAGGCATCGGAACCTTTCAGGTTCTGATCCTGCGTGGCACCTGCCAGGCCGCGGACCAGGAATCAGGGCAGCGGAGGAATCGCCGCGCGGAGACGGAGTCGTGAGAAGGTGGGGAGCTCTGGTGTGTACATAAATGCCTTTCCTTCGTAAAGAAGAGCGCTTTCTTTTGAGACCCTCGATGCAAAAAAAGCTTCTGCTTCAAACATCAGAAAGACATGTGCCCACAAAAGGAGATGCGTGCACCATCACGTTGAAAACTCGGAGTTCGAATTTCCTGCGGCAAAAACCATCCGTCATCTCCTTGCATTCTCCTGCAACCTGCCAGATCGAGACACCTGCCCTGCCTGCCCTGCACTCATACAGCGCGAGGCCTTGGGGTCCTGCTGTTGCCTGAGTTTCAAGGGTCTTCCGGTCCATCGTTGGTTGGGCGCCACTGCTCTGGAGCGCTTCGCCCTCTTTGGACGCGCCTTCGTGGGCTACGGCGGGGTGTGCCGCTCGGGGCTATGCACGGGGCGGTGGGAGATGATGGGGAGGTGGGAGATGATGGGAGGTGTGTCAAAGCGAGCTGTTTGGGATCGACTTAGGGCGAAGACGTATAAGTTAGTAGAAGGTCTGAATATCGATAAGAGTAGAGTTTTTGGAGCATTTGTTCACACTGGTACACCCCAATATGTTGGAAACACCTGAGTCAGTTTACTCGCACCCGAGATGTTTGCTCGCACCCGAGATGTGAACCTCGATCAGGCGAATTGAGCGCACTGGTTGCATCAGGGAAGCATCAGTTGTCCCATCAGGGAGTGGTTTGCCACTCAGTCGTCCCACTCTCCCTGGTTGCATCAGTACCAAAGCAAAGCTGCAACCAGGGAGAGTGGGACGATGGGACGACTTTTACCATCTCTTACCGCGGTACGACGCGCTGTTCCACGAGAAACGCACCCACTCCAAACCCAACCCAACAAAATCCAACCAACTGAGATGAACCACTCAAGTAACCATGTATGTACATGTATAGTCATTTATATAATATACATCAACATTCAGGTAACATTGGAACACTCAGGTAACCATGTATATACACAATGGTTTCTTTGCTCAACATTCAGATGTCAGCCATTGTCATGACATATACCCAGCGGCCTTATAGCAATCCCCAGGTGCCTCAAAGTGCCAACTCTCTGAAACTTCAAAAACAGTTGTGCGTGTGGGGAACTCGCTGTGGGGGCACCAGGTATCTTTTTTTTTTTTTTTATCTAAAGAGTCATACCTGCAGGGCTTAAATTGGAACTGATACTTATTTATATAATATACGACATGGCTCAACTAATTTGGGTGGTGTGCTAACTGGGGGGTGCTTTATCCACCAGGCCTGCAAAGTAGATCTAGTCACCCAGTCTTGCTGTCGAGAGTCAACTTCGCGGCATCGTTTCAGCGTCACTGACCTTGGAAATTGATTGCTGAACGCGTTCACCTCACCTGGGTGGAGTTCTAGACTTCTAGACCAAACTGGCTCCAGACTCGCCTCCCCTGTGACTCGGGACACACGTCCCAACCTCCAGACTCGCCTCCCAACAACATCTCCCGCCGATCCCGCGCATCGCGCACCGCGCGATCGCCCAGGCTTCGGCTTCTTGGCCATCGCCCTTATGCCCCTGGCCGTGGCCCGACTGCCCGACCAACTCGGACGTGGGACCGGGTTTGTCTTCGATGGCAACCCATCGGGTGTTGTGAAAAGGGCGGAGGGGTGAAAATCAACAGGGGGTTGAGCATGGTGAAATTTGAGGCCTTTTTATGTGGGGGATGTTCATTTTGTTTAAGCATTTTTTGTTCAACGCCACATATAGAACGTCAATGAGGTGATGTTTTGGTGGTTTCGTCCAAACAGGTGTCCAAAGAAGGGTCACTCTTTCCAAGATGAGCCCGGGGATGTGGGGATTCAGGGATCAAACTGCCATTGCTTCACCCAATCAGGTTTCAAACTGTTAGATCGGCCATGGGCCACTCAACGGAAGGGTAGTGCACAGAAAGGGTTTTGCAAAACTTATTCTACTAACATCGTGGAAGGCGCGGGACATTCGTAGAACCCAAGGCTATTCGTGGACAGTTCGTGGAATGGTGGGCCAGTAGGAGAACTGACTGCAACGAAATCCCAGAAACCTTCGCAGAACTTCGTGGAAGGTATTTTTGATGCACTAACTTCGTATAACAAGCGATTTTTGCTGACCCCCTTTCTCTACACACCCTCCATTTAGCCTTCATCAGTTCCTTAAAACTTCAAGCTTGGAGGGCTGACAGGACCTCAAACTGCCTCCAGGTTGGGTCATTCGGACAAGTTGGACCATTTGTTTCGGATCTCCAATAGGGAAGTCCATGATTGATCTGTGTGGTCCTGGTGG